GTTAGCGAATTCTATTTGCAGGGCCAGTAAAATGACTTCCCTGAAAAAACTGGTGTTATGAAGAACGGAAATACGCTTTTTATTTTTATTTTATATAATTTAAATTGCCATTCCCACTGTCTTTAAATTGAAACTGTTAAGCTGAATAAAAACTTAAGCTGCAAATTGGTAACTTTGCTACATAACAAGGAACATATACCATGTTTACAAAAGGCTTAAAGGTTTGCATGTGCAGTGTGCATTTATAACAGACTTCTAATTGCTAGCTCAGTTTAGGTGTACACATTTACCCAGTTGAGCATTTCCAGAATGACTACTGCATAAATTGACAATAGGTCATTCTCTTTTTTTTTTTTTTTTTGCAAACCCCACCCCCCACTCATGAAGAGATTCCATGGACTGAACTGTGTGTATCGGCAGCACAGGCTGCAGCCCAATGTGTGGTTTTAATGACCAGCACACAGGAAAAAAGCATTTTGCACAATGTTTGTTTTCCTGTCTTGCACTTACAGATAAGGTCTATGGGAGTAGCATGGAAAACGTTTGCTGTTTTTCCCCTTTTCCCTTTTTTATTGCTTTTGTTTAAAATTTGATTGCCTTAGCTACTGTAAACAAACTTGGTTTTGCACTTAAGATACTAAATGGAAAACTCCATTGTGTGTTACTAGACTGGGAAATATTTAGTCAAATGTGTGTTAATTTGGCTGTAATGGCATTTAAAGCAAACAAAGCTGTGAAAATCCTTGCAGCATCTGGGAAATATTTAGTCAAATGTGTGTTAATTTGGCTGTAATGGCATTTAAAGCAAACAAAGCTGTGAAAATGGCCTTGCAGCATTATCTTTAGTTACTTGAAGAGTCTCTAGTTTTTTAAAATATAGTTATGTTGAAATAATTTTTATTAATTTAGAGAAGACAATCAATGTGAGAAAAATGGACTTTCTTTTGGGTTTTCTTCTTGTGGTCACTGTGTTTCTTCCTTTTCTTAGTTTCCCATTCTTCCTTTGTTTTAAAACTTAAGACATGACTTCCCTGGCACTGGCTTAGCAACGTCTAGTTTGCAAATGGAATCCCGTATAAAATGTTCAGCTTTCAGAAATGTCTGCTTCTCCCACCAGTGACCCAATAGGAGTCTGCAGTGTGCCCCACGGACAGGCTGAGATAAATACTACTTTCACAGTCCTAAGAGTTTTATTTTTCTTGTGCTAATCTTCCAGCTGACAAATGTTCAGAGGGCCCAGCACGTCACGTCTTCCGTAACTCACCACTGTCACTGATGATGGCACCTAAGTCCTCCACATCTGAAACTTCAAGGAGTATGTGTGTGCACGTGCCTTGGGGAGCCAGGAATCAAATATTTTAATAAAATAGGATTACATTATCATTCACACCGTAACTATCTCAAGTCACTGGCATACTTAATGAGCACTGTAATTATTTTATTAGTTCATTGGCTTATTGATGAGCGGAGACCGTACCAGCTTGAGGCAGTGCTGTGACACCTTGAACAGAGCCTAATACACAGAAGGTGCTGGAATGAACTAAAAACTGTATTAAAGAGGGGGAGAAGAGAGAGGGCACCTGGGCAGACATCGTGTGAGCAACCAGGATTGTTCATTTACTCAAACGTGGGCGTGCAACAGGACTGAGTCAGGCAGGAGAAGGGAACTCAACAGCGAGTAGAGAACAAAATATTGGTTTTTTATTATTGTTATTATTTTAGAATAAAAAATTTAAAGAGAAGGGGCTGGATTATTGTCTTGAGGTACTTGGATGAATGGAGTGAGGTCACCCGTCCAAGGACGGGCCATGGTTGCAGATGTTACCAGGCTTCCCGGACAGCAGCTGGGACTGCGCATCCATCGACGGTGGATGACTCCTACCTGAGCTGATGCCGAGGAGGTGGCGAGTGCTCAAGAGGTGTGGTTGCCTTACCCACTAGGTGTGACAAAAATGATGACAAATTTAGGCAAAAAACATAAAGGCAACAAACAGGATGCTGGGTTATAACCCAGGGGAGTTCACATAGGGTGACAGAGCAAAGCCTTTCGTGGTGTTAGGGGTTGAACCGGGCTTTATGAGACTGAGCCAATTGGGAAAGGGAGCAGCAGGTGCCGAGGAGGCCCTACAGCAGCACAGTCTGGTAGACTGCAGAGAGCAAGGGCAGGGCTGGCGGAAGTGTCTTGGCCAAGGACAGGGTATGACAAGGGGGAAATGGAGGGGCCAGGCCGCGCAGCTGCCGGGTGTTGGGTGCAGCAGAGAGGACCTGGATCCCAGACTAAGAGAGGTGGGAGCCCTCGGAGGCTGTAAGGAGCAGGGAAGAAAATACTTTTTACATTTGGAGCAGCCCACCCTGAATGAAGCTGTTACCAGTGCGCGCCTTCTAAAAGCGGCTTGCCGTTACATGTTACCAGGTTCTGGGTTGCTCGCCCCTCCCTCTGGAGTTAGATTCCATGCTCTTCCCATCTCAAACAAAGAATTGAACAAAACGAGCAAACAGCAGAGAAAAGTTTATTTGAAAAAGTAAAAGTGAAGAGAGAGAAACTGACTCTTCAAAGCAAGCTTGGGCCAAGTGAAAGAGGAAAAAGCAAGATAAAAGGATACCCTGGGGAAAGCAGGGCCATCTATCATGAGGAAAGTCACCATAGCAGGCTCCTCCTGGCAGCTGCGTCCTTACAGATTAACCAAATGTCAAGGACACCTTCGAGAACTTCCGCATCTGGTTCCGGAGAGGTGGAGCTGGGGTCCCTGTCTCCCGCTGACATCGGATCTAGGCATCCTACTGAAAGCCACTCCAGTTCTTGTGAGAAGTCCCTGCAGGGCTTTGGCAACCGTTCTACGCATGTGCTACATGATCTTTGTACGTGAGTCACACCTACTTCCCCAGCCAGCTTTGCCATGCCCTAATCACCTATGTTATTTTCCCGAGAAATACAAATCCCCATACATTTTTATGGGAGTACTGAGAGAGTGGAGGTCTCTTATCTCCTGCAGCTTCAAGCTGGAAGGGGCTGTAGACTATCTACTGGGGATTTTTGTGCCCCTCTACTACCTTGGGCTGGTTTGAAGAAAGGAATACCTGTCCGGAAACAATGAGAAAAGAGTTAATGACCACTGACCTTCACTGTTAGACCAAATATGAGGAGCAGGTCAGATTTCCCTGCTTCCTGTGGTGGCGCTGGAGTCTTGCTTTTTGAAGCAAAATTTCAACTTTTCCAGAGGCTCACGGGAGTGGCCTTCCTATTTTGGGTGGGCTTGTTCTTCAGACAGTTCAGACGCAACTGGCTTTATTCTGGAAAGGTGAATCCAATTATGTAACTCTGCCAACTTTACTGCAGTGTCAAGGATCACTGAGAAGGGGTCTTTCCATCCCAGGTTTAATCAGTCAGTGGCTGTCCCTGCTCTCCAAGTTTTTACAAGTACGTGATCTCCAGAATGGACAGGAGGTGGCCCCCTTTAGGCCACAAGCTGGCAGGTCTCTGTTCTCATACATTCAGAAGCCTGTTGTATTTGGCCCAGACTAATGAGGTACTGTGAGAGCTGGATGGTCTCAGGTCCACTACCGTATCAGAGGACAGAAATGCCACCCATCCCCTAGCGACTCAAACTTAGCCCAGTTTTGTGCATGTTACGAACCCTCATGAGCACTAGTGATAGCAATTAGAGCCAGGACTCAAGGCATCTCTTGGCAAAGCTTTGCCAGAGCTTAGGGTTTAGGTCTTGGCTCTACCTTTCCATGTGGTACCACCAGGAGAAATGGAACTGGTACTTCATTACTAAAGCTGAGTTATGTGGGAGGTAAAAGAAGGTCCATTATCATCGTGGAGGACTTGGGTAGTCCAAATCTAGAAATGGTTTCTTGAAGGAGCACCTTGACTATTTCTGTAGCCCTTCCTGAAAGGCTAGGACAGGCTTCTATCCAGCCTGTAAGGTGTCAGTCAGGACCAGCATCAGTTTAATTCTCCATATGGCGGCACATGGGTAAAGTCTCATTGCCAGTCCTCTCCAGGGTATGGCCCTCCCCTCTGCACACATTCTAATAATGGAGGCGCTCTGGGCTCACCACGGTTACTGCAGGCACAGGGTGGACAGGCTTTGCAGACCTGGTGGGTGCTCATTGCTAGTCTTAGTCCTGTGAAAACTCGAGCAACCATTTCCCATAAGGAAGGAATCAAGGTAGCGCACCCTGTAATCCCAGCACTCGGGAGCCCAAGGCAGGAGGATCACCTGAATTCAAGACTAGCCTGGGCTACACAGTGGGTTTAAAGCCAACCTAAACTACACAGGGAGATCCTATCTCAAAAACAAACAAACAAAATAACCACAGATTTATTTTCTTACGGCCTTAGAGGGAAGAAATATGAAATCAGTTTTATTTAGGCGAAGTCAAGGTGTTGGCACTGCTGGCTCCTCCTAGAGCCTCTGAGGGAAGACTGTTTTCTCGCCAGGGGCTCCCCGTGCTTCTTGTCTTCTGGCGCTTCCTTATCTTCACAGCAGATTCCTCCAAACCCTGCTTCTGCCACCACACTGCCTCGTCCAGCTCCGACTCCACTGCTTCTCTCACACAAACTCCTGGGTTATATTGTGCCCACTCGGGTGGTCAGGGCAGTCTCATGGCAACACCCGACTTAGCCACACAGCCACAGAAAGTAACGCACCCACCAGTTTTAGGAGTCAGGACATGGACATTTTAGGGGGCTATTTTTCATCCTGCCAACAACCAAGATGAAGAACGCAATGAAGCAGGCTAATCCGGCAAGGGCAGAAGCAAGAGCAGAGAACAGCCTTGGAATCTGGTGGAGGCCAAGGTCAAGACACTAGGCATGTCAGGTGCTATAATAAAAAGCTCACAGAAGATGAAATCCAAAATGGACTCAAGATTACAAAGTGAGTCTGACTCACAGGGAATATACTGGGGTCACAGGATGACTCTGGTGCTTGGGTTTAAAATATCATAGACGTGAACCCTAGCTAGGTCCAAAGAGCACAGAATGGCACCTGACAACAAGCAGATGAACAACTGGCAAGTGAGATTTATTTAAACAACAAGTCAACAGGAACAAGAAGTTATGCAGCCACCTTCGTAGCTGAGGTTTCTCTGAGTGTGGGGGGAGACCAGCAGATGAGGCCAACCCATCTCTCCGGAGCTGCGCAGTATCCTCTGGGAAGGTTAGAGCTTCCACTTCCAGCTCAGGAGGAGCCTTGAGGGATTAACAAGTTATCTCCTTCAAACCTGGGAAGGAAACAGGCTGTCAGAGACCCTCACCATGCAGAGCAGAGAAAGTGGGGAGCAGGTGATGCTGCTGTGGGCCACCAGGACTGGCTCCGGGCACCAACATGGGACTGGGCTCCACTCCCTGGCTATGTGAAAGGAGATTTCATAAGTAAAAAGGGGCTGGGCAGAATTGAAAACACATAATAACAATTTATGGGCCCTCTGTAGTAAACATCCCCAATCTGCCCTTGAACTGCTAAACTTTGAGCGAATGCAAAGAAGCTCCTCCACCATCCAGAGATGAACGCTTTCCACCAGACAGCTAGGCAGAGAGTGGAAGCAGATCGCTCCCATACAGAAAATGTTAGTGATGGCCAGGAGCGGTGGTACACCTCTGTAATCAATCCCAGCACTTTGAGAAGCTGAGGCGGGAGGATTACAAGTTCCCAGGATGGGCAACTTAGTAACCTAGTGAGATCTTGTCTCAAAAAAATTTTTAAAAGGGCTGGGGAATGGAGCTTAGTGCAAAGGCCGTGGCTTCAATACCCAGTTCCAAAAAAAGAAAAAAAATGTTCAACGTATTATTTCTTGGTAAGAATTAGAGTTAATTTAAAAGTATTAGAAATAACCTACATTTCCAAAAGCATGGTAAAGTCAAGTAAACAGATAGCTAAGTAAATTCAAACTTAGTCACGTGATCATTTAATAAACCCCTTAAACTTATATTCATTGAAAGTTTCTATAGCAAGAGGGAAATGCTTATGTTCCAATATTAAGTTCAATAAGTCAGGAATCAAAGTTACATAAATATATAAATCTAATTATTAAAAATAAGGCAACAGCTAGAGAAAGAATGGAAGGAAAAAGTTATCTAGGGTTTATCTCTGAGCAGACACATGAATTTTATTTTCTTTGCCATACTTTCTAGAAGTTTCCAAATTCTTTACTAAAAATTATATTGTTTTATAATTGGGGGATGATAACAGTTTATGTAAAAACACACCAATAAATGATTTTAAATAAACAACTTTGAAAGGACTCTATGTACTGAACTGCACAGCTGGGTAAATTTATAACATGCAAAACGATAAGCTCTCATGACAGCCTGGAAATTTCACACAGGGAACAGTTCCTGCCTCTGTCCAGGTCCCTGCTTTGTACCAGCTACTTGTCTGGGGTCCTGAGTCATTACGGTCAACCTTAACTGCAGGAAGCCTGAAAGGCTAACACAGCCTCCACTGGACTAGTGAGACACCCAGGAAATAACCACACTGGTGGTTATTCCCTAAGCTGAGGTAACAAGACACTGGTATGATCGCAATCATACTGCTGTGATTACTAAAGCTCTAACAAGACACTGATGAGGATCCACGCTAGCTCCTCATGGTTCATTCTGCCTCTGCCAGGGAACTGCACCTTAATTACAGAGATGAGAGGTTCCTAAAGTTCCAGATATGCCTAGAATGTTTCCCGGGAGAAGAGGCATTTCTAAGTCAGAACAACAAAAGAGTAATGTCCTACCAAGCGCCTGTCCTCCTTTGGTCGCCCAGCACAGGCAGTAATGATGCATGAGTTGCTCCAGAAGCTCCATTTCATCCAGGAATTCAAGAGATTCTATTCTGTGCAGAGTAGCAAAATAGAGAAATATAACATTATAAATTAAAAATAAAACAATTAAAGATGAAAATGATGATCCACAGTTACCGATATGAAGAGCTGTTCATGACAAATTAAAAAAATCAGCTACAAGACAGTCTGTACGGTTCCACTTCAATTTCATTATTATTAAAAACAAGAAGGGCACTGGGAGTTTCCCCTGGTGGTGGAGTGCTGGAGTGCCTGCTTAGCATGCATGAGGCCTTGGGCTTGATCTTTAGTACCAAAAGAGTAAGAGGAAGAAGAAAGAATGCCATAAACAAAGTCATAAGACAAACCACAAAAATATAATGCAATACAAAGGGCAAAGGACTGACTCCCCATATAAAGAGCTGTGAAATTTCAATAAGAAAAAAGTTTGAAATGAATTTTAAATTCATTTTCCAGGAGGATGTGTCAAGGGTATCTCAAGTGCAGGTAGGACTACCCTACCCACCACAGGCGCAAAGGTATAAAAGCGCAAATCTATTTCAAACTCTTCCTTGAGGAAAGATCGCAGGGATGCCCTGCTCACTGCTCTTCTTCTTCTGGGTCATGTCGAGCACCTGGTGCCATGATACACTGCATCACACTGGCCCAAAAGTGATGGGGCCAAGTGCTCAGAGAATGGAACCATCTGAGGCTCCACTGAGGCAACATGAACCTTTCCTCTTTCTCAGTTGATGATTTCAGATATTTGTCACAGTAACAGAACACTGACTAATACAACATCCAAGGTGGATTAGTACCAAGTTCTAGGGGAGAAAAAAAGCAACCTGTACATAATAAACATTTCCACACAGTTATTCCCAACTATCAGAACACAACACTAATGAAGCCATTCCGTGGCACCAGAGAACTCATAAGAGCAGGTATACAAGATGCAACTGCAACATTCATATTTAAACAGTGAATGTTTAAATACTTTTACACATATTACAGTAAAAGATACATTGCCATTAATCCCCCTTGAAATAGTTCCTCTTGCTTCAAACACATTTATCCCGTCATTCTTACTACTTTCTGAAGCAGTTCTGCAGGTCTTCTTTCACGAGTGCCTCTAGCTGCCCTGCTGTGTCTGCCTCAACATCCTGAATAGATTAAAAAATGTTTACCTTCCATGGTCACTTTAACTTCGGGGAAGAGCCAGGCGGTGAATGAGGTGGGTGAAGATACACTGCCACCTTTCTATAGGATGGGCACTTGGCGGCAACATTCACTGTATTTTTTTTAATATACTTCATAAAGACATGCTCCACTTACAGAAAAGGGCTTCCAAGACTACTTCAGAAAGGGGCAAACACAGTGAGTGAGACGTGTGACTGAAGCAAGGGAGAGTATTCTGAGTGGGACTAATGGCAATGTGTTTTACTGTGATAATTTTTTAGTTTAAACATTCCCTATATATACTGAACATATCTTGTATTTTCTGGTCTATTTTTATTATCGTTGTATTACTCATGCTCACAAAATGCCTGATACACAGTAGACACTCAACATTCATTAAATGAATAAACTTGCCTTAGACCACTTTTTTGTACTCCATGGTATCCAACAAACAGACATAGGTACTATGTGGCAATTCACAGAGCTGGGTGCCGTTCAGCCTGGAGTAGACCGAGCAAAGCCCATCCCACCTCCTTACTGGCTCCTGCTAGGGTTACAGCCTGCTGCCTTCAGAAGCCACGACCACTGACACAAAGGTGCCAGAGACAAGCTACTTTCTGTCTGGCAGAATCCTCCTGGGTGTCAGGAAAAGTATCCCCACTTTAGACGCCATGCCAAGGACATTCAAAATACTTTGTCTGGGGATCGAACTCAGGACCTTGTGCTTGCCTGGCGGGCACTATGTCACTGAGCTACATCCCCAGCCCTTTAAAACACTTTCGACAAGCCTAACAGAGAGGGTGCTTCCAGAAGAATCGAGGAAGCATTAACCTGATTACTGGAAGACTCCACTTTCTCAAACTTTAAAGACTTTTGTTACATCTGGATACACAGAAAAAACAGTGATAGATGGAAATGTTAGTAAGTTCTATGGAAAAGCAAAGTGAAAAATTCTTCTCATGATCTTGTAGCTGTATCACAAGGTCTTCACAGGAAAGAGAAAAGTACAAACCAGGAAGCACAGACATTGTTAAAAAAAGAAAGTGGGCACCAACATACATACAGTACTATCTTGTATATAATGTACTTACAGTACTATTATCTCCTGGCTGCAACAGGGAAATTTAAATAAAATACAAGATACCACAACCAATGTTCAGCTATAGCCATTTTTAATTTCTTTAAAATTGTGAATGTTGATATACTCTATCTCCATAGCAATCTAAGTATTATATACCCATCGGCAGAATAGGGTAACATTCAGTATTTGGATAATGTAAAATAAATTAGTCCTATTTTTAAGTTTTAAAAGGAGAAGGTAATTTCTGGACCAGTAGTATGAATCCACTGATTCAAAAAACAGAAACCTACCATATAATATTTATCTTTGCATATGCACAGAAAAGCATGGAGCGTGTGAACGAAGAGTGGATGCTGCTTCACACCTCACGCGCTCTCACTGTCTGAAATGCTGGTGCAGACGCTGGCATGTGTTTATGTTCTGAAAGTCCACTTACCACTCTGCTATCACAGGTATTTTTTTCTCTTAGAAATCCTTGGGCGATACCGTTTTCCTCCTCTCCCAAACAGGAATTATGCAAAATTCCCACGCAGAGGTCACTCTGGGATACTCCAGGCATAACTGTTTATTCTCACTAACATCACCTCTCTTGGCATAAGTTCTACCTCAGGTAACCGCTGAGCGACTCTCGCTGCTGACAATGTTTAGTTTACTTCAGAAGAAGTCTGGTGAAGGTTCTGTTTTGTGTGTCGCACGGAGTACAGAAATCCCACCTCTAAGGCCCAGGCAGCAGCCCTACCTGCTCACTTCGGCCCGGGGCAGCCTGCCGTACAGCTCCATCATGTCTACCGCAGAGGCAGTTTCCCAGCCATTTGCCAGGAGCCGTTCTCTCTACAGCGTGGGTGAAGAGAAACAGACAGCTAAGGCTTGGCAATAAGCCCAAGACCCGAACGCAACGGGGATTTCTCTGAGATCACTCTTCTTTCCAAAACCCACTGTGGTCCCATCTCTTTCCTTTGCACTTTCCAGCTTTCTGTACCCAACACACAATTATTACAGGAGAAAAATATATTTAAAAAGGAACAGAGGAAGAAGCTATGAGCAACTTCTAAAGCGTCAGGTGCTCACGTGACATGAGGCAGTCAGAACAGACACGTGTGGTGGGTGGGGCCTCCTGCACGCAAATTAATGACTATCACAGATTCAGAACCACAAAAGAGGATCGATCACCTATGAAGTGTGCACCACGCATGGGTCCTGACTGAAACACTGCCCACGGGAAACTTTTTAAACGTGGGAAGTGAGCATGGACTAGGTAGTGTTGCTGCTGCCAGTGAGGTGACAATCACGCCATCACCCTGAGGAAGGGAAGAGAGCCCTTCCTGGGACGGGAGTCTCCCCGAAATGTTTAGGGTGAAATCACGTGTTGTCTGGGGTTTGCACGAAAATATTCTGACAGCAACAACAAAACAACTGTGGAGAGGATGCATGAAATGACCTCAACAAAACAGTAATTAATTACTGAGGCTGGCTGCCAGACGATGGATGTTTATTGTGCTATTCCTTCCACCTCTGAGTTTATTTACCGTTTTACCTAATTCAAAGGAAATTTTACATTGAAAATAGTGAAGCGTGCTAATGAAACAGCATGTAGGAAATGTAAATTTGTGTTTTCCAACCAAGAGGGCAAGGCAGGATGGGTTTTCCCAGCAACACGAAGCCCTAGCTGTCTGTCAGCAGGTGCTGAACTGTCTCATCACGCAGAATGCGCTCTCTGGGACGGCTAAGGTACACTGCGTCTCCTGGTCTCTATTTGCTGACCTGCGACTCTAATGACTTGCAGGTCTCCACTCCTGCCAGGTGACACTGTCGTCTCCAAAGGTTTTCAATCATGATCTGCCCAAACCGATCCTCCATGTTTACCTGGAAAGGAAAAGGAGGCCAGGCATCAGCATGAAGGTGTGCTGTTAAACATGCAGGGCAAACAGCATCCCACTGTGACCCGGTCACGGCTGGTGTTTGGAAATACACCTGCAGTACAGGGAAAGGAGCAGACACCAACACACACCACGATGGAAACGCCAACTGCCACGGCCCCTTCAAGGGCAACCCGACAGTATACACCCCGATTCCAATGTTCAACCTGCTACGGCACAATTCCACTGATGGCAAGTTACCCTAGAGAGATGCAGACACCTGTGCAAAGATTAAAAGAATAACATTCTGCAGGGTCATGGGAAGCAGGAGGAATGTGCAAATAAATACCCGTATTTGGGGTTAAATTCTAACACCTTCAGGAAGGAAAGACAGACACAGGTACAGGCATGGATGATTTCAAGGTAAATGCTTAAGGAGCAAGGTATTGAGGAAAACAGGCAGAAAGCTTCCATCCACCTCCAAGGGAAAACAAATCTCTTCATATGCACAGGGAAATTGAGGAATGCAATGCCAGGCAAGGGGACTGAAGTCCCAGGTAGGAGGGAGATTTGCTAGCTCTAACCTTGCGGACTGTTTGGTTTTTCTATTCTACTGATGGCATTAGTGTTTGAAATTAAGATAAAAATTCCTAGTTGAAGAAAGCCACAGTTAACCTGTATAGATGCACACGTGCCACAAACATCTCTGTGCACTACTGCAGCACACACACCATCATCCTGTCACACAGCGAGGTAACAAGGAGACATCACCTTTTATAGCACGTTCACAGTACGCTTACATTCCTCGTGTGGAGCCGGTGCGCACACACATCTTCATTCCCCTTTCATCATCCCCTTTCCCTCTTCCCTTCCCATTCCATCTCGATTCCCTTCCCGTCTGAGAAAGATCTACACCTACTTCCTGTTATCTACCGTTTACTGTGCTCTTTATTTATATTTTGGGTTTCCATATAAGAGAAGCCACGTGATAGTGAAGTTTGTGTGTATTTCCCCGAACATTATGATCCCAAGGTGCACCCATTCACCTAGGAATGCCTCAAGTTTACCCTTCTGTATGGCACAGTACTACCCCATCGTGTGTAAACACACTTTCTTTATCCATTCATCTGTTGGACATATACACTGCTTCCAAGACTTGGTGATGATAAATTGTGCTGCTATAAACACGGGTATGCATGGGTCACTGTAAATATGCTTGCTTTTAACTCTTTTGGGAAGACATCAAGAAGGGAATAGCTGGGTCAAATGGAATTTCTAATTCTGGTTTTTTGAGGAATCTCCATACTGATTTCTATGTAGTTTACATTCCTACCACCGATGTAGGAATTTTCTCCCACAGCCTTCTTAGCATTAGTTATTATCTGATTGCTTGATGATGGCCATTCTTTCCGGGGAAAGATGGAATCTCAGTGTTGTCTTAACTTGTATTTCTCTAATGGCCAGCAATGCTGACCATTTGGTTCATGTATTTATTGGCCATTTGTACTTCTGAAAGGTGTCTATTCATTTCAGTTGCCCATTGTTTTAACTAGGACTTTCATTGGGGGAGGGCTAATTTTTTTCAAGTTGTTTATATATATAGAAAAATCCCTAACTCATGAAATTCAAGTTGCAAACTTTCACAGGTGCATTGTACCAGACTCACTCTGTTGGCTTATGAACAAATCAGACTTATGAACAATTCTCCTGGAACAGAACTCATTCATAAGTTGGGGACTTACTGTATTTCCCATTCTGCAGGTTGTCTCTTTATCTGTTGGTTGTTTCCTTTGCTGTGCAAAGCTTTTTAATTTGACATGATCCCATTTGTTGATTCATGGCATTTAATTTTTCTTGGTGCTTCTATGACTGTTTTTTTCCTGATTTCTTTCTCCGTAAGTTCATTATTAGTGTACAAGAATGCCACTGATTTTTGTGTGTTGATTTTATAACCTGCTACATTGCTGAATTTGGTTTGTAATTGTAGGAATCTTTTGGTGGAATTTTTTGGGTCTTTGTTGTTTGGAGACAATGATAACTTGTCTTCTTCCCTTCCTATCACATTCCTTTTGTTTCTTTTTATTGCCTAATTGTTCTTGCTCATGTTTCAAGTTTAATATTAAACAGGAGTGGTGACAGTGGATGTTCTTGTCTTCTTCCTGAATTTAGAGGGAAAGCTTTCAGCTCTTCCCCATTTAATATGATGTTGGTAATAGGCTTGTCATAAATGGTTTTATCAGACTGAGATAAGGACCTTCCTATTTCTTGTTTTTATCATGAGGGGATGTTACCGTTTCGGTTTAGATGTCCCCCTAACGCCTCATGTGGGTGAGGTGGGCCTTTCTCTTTCAGAGGTAGCTGTATCTGGAATGTGTGATGCTGGGGTTAAAGGTGTTTGACTACTAAACTACATGTGAGGGGAGACTAATCCCTGTGTTCTGGATAAGATAAAAGGGGCAGGGAGATGCTGTTAAACTCCCTGTTATCTTTGCTGCCTGTGCGCATCATGCTGTTTCTCCTCTGCAATGAGTGTTTGCCATCCCAGCCTCGGAACCAGCTACAGACTGAAATCTCTATGGACTTTAAGCCATAACTTTGGGTGTCGGGTATTTCAGCAACAAGAGAAAAGTAATTGACACAGTGGATGACAGATTTTGTCAAAGAATTTTCAGCAAGACATCACTATAGCAATATATAAAAGGATTTCCAAAGCTTACATGACAACGATGCCAAGTATCAACATGACTGTGTCTCAGGGGACAGCAAGACTTGGATGATACCGATGAAGAGGCTGGGAGGGAGGGTGTAGGAGAGCACACAGCCCCTCATCCTTCTGCCTGGCTTAGAACCCTGGCTTGACAAGGCCATGAGGTCATCACAAGCTGCCCATTTAACCCTCTGCACCTCAGCCAAGATGGTACTCGTACCTACCTTGTGCACTGTTGGATAATTAAATGTTAATATATGCAAAACTCAGAACAGTGTCTGGTACAAAATACACAAAATCTAAGCATTTGCTATCATTACTTTATGATCACTAAAATTATCACCCTCCATGTGGCTTTGTCATTTTAAACTATTAATTAGGAAACAATGTAAGGCAGGCGAACAATTAATATACTGCTGTAAGGCTGCTGTTGATTTTGTCTGTGTTAGAAAATTGATTTAAATTAAATTACTCCTGGCTAGGTGAGAATGGCAGGCGGGAGAGAACCAGGTGAGAGGCAGCTGTGAACACTGGTATTTTTCCAGATTTCCTCCAAAGGAAAAAGCCTCTGGCCGAAATTTACTTAGCATGCCATCTCTCTTACGGCATGGAGTAAATGCTTATTTGACAGAACATGCAGATGACCCAGAGGCATGAAGCTGCACACACTGGAAAGGTGCAGAAGGTGGAGCACATCTGCACCAGTGTGGTGCTAAGCAGATGGACTGGAGAAGACAAAGCAGAATGTCAAAGGTCACTTCAGCACAGAGACACAAGTTCTGAGCAAGCAGCAGAAATTCTGAAAACGAAAACTTCACTAAGTCCAACTTTAAAACCTCAATTAAAGTCTCAGCAGTAGGTAACACGAATCAGAAGAAAGTATTTGAAGGCTTGATGATCGGGGTGTGCTAGAATGTTCAATCAATAAATAATAATACAAAAGAATAAGAAACAATGGAAAAGGGCCAGGGGTTCAGCTCAGTGGTGCCACCACCTGCCTCACAAGCGCAAGGTCGCAAGGTCGCTCCCCGGTACCAAAAAAAAGAAAAGAAACAATGGAAAGATAATCCAAGGGCTCCCAGACAATAAAAGAACAAACAAGAATCATCAGCCTTGAGGAGGGTGTCAAATTGTGAGCTAATGGTATTTTTAATAATCTATTCACTGAAATTATTGCAGAAAATTTCCCAAACCTATGAATAAGATGGACACTCAGGGGTAAAGGAGTCATTTAGAACCCCAAGTAGACACGAGCAGAAAAGAATCTCTGCACAACACAACATAACCAAAATGCCAGAAATTCATGGCACAGACTCCGAATCACAGAGCCAAGCTGCCTAAGGTCACACAGCCAATCGCAAGAGCAAGGGCCAGGATTCAGACCCAAACTGTCTCTCTCCAAAGCTCCAAAACAGGCCTTGTTCTGCACTGGACCAGAAGCAGCTAACGGCTGCCAATGCACCAATCTCAGTGACTGTAGAAATTAAGTCCTGCATTTCTAACTTCTCTTAAAAAACTGGGCATTCTGGCAATTCGAGGACCTCGTGTTCTCATGGTACCGCCTGGATGTGCCCAAGCAGAGGCCTCTCCCATGAGCGTGTGCGGCTGCTCCAGGGCCCAGCACCCCTCACCATGTCACTACACCTGGCCACTTCTCTGTCTCCATCACCCGCCTGACCTGAAGTCACCTGCACTCGCTACCTACACAGACTGCAGTTAAGAGATTCACAACGCTCTGCAGAAAAACTTATAAAGACTAAAACAGAAGTTCCCACAATTCTCGCCAGAAGTTCACAAGAGGTCGAGAAATCAAGGGTGCTAGGACTATTGTAAATGATTAATAAAGAAGTTACATCAGTAGCCGAGGCAGAAGGGAAAGAGAGGAAGGATATGGTGTCACATGTCTGTTATCCCAGCAACCTGGGAAGCTGAGGCAGGCAAGTCCTGCCTGGGCAACTTAGTGAGAACTTGTCTCAATATATATGTAAATGGCTGGGGATGTAGTTCGTTGTGAAGGCCAAGGCCTCAGGAACAAGGGACAGATATGCTCAGAAGGAAAGCCACCACTGAGGTTGAGTAGAATCCAGCTCTCGGTGCCTCGTCTTACCTGTTCGTAGTTTATGAACATGGCTGTCTCAAAGCTGTTGGCTGCCCACTTTATGAGGTTTGCTGACTGCTCCGGAGTCATGTAAATCAGCACACATTCGGTTATCAGGAGTGTCGGCAACCTTGAGGAGGAAAAGCAATGCACTTACACGTGTTTCTGTGAGGGCAGGACGCTCTGCTCACACGGGCACTGTCAGACGGCACGGCAGGTCAGCAAACCCAGCATGGGTCAGTGGGCAGGCTAAGCCCGCAGATCTGCCCACGGCTCCCAGGCCCACTGCACTATCTTCTCCTTCTCATCTAAGCTGCTTCTCCGACTCCTTTACGGCATCCTCCTCGCCTCTGTGCCTCCTAAATACTGATGCTCCTCACAGCTGGCACTGTACAGAATACAGTGTGTTCTTCTGGAAGTCCTAAAACTGCCAATGTGGCAGGACTGCATTTTTTTATTAGTGCACATCAGCAGTGCAGAAAGGTGAGATTTGTTCTGGTGACCCATACATGCATTTAATTTATCTTGGTCCCATTTTAAAGAAAACACATATTTACAAATTTTGATAGAAGACGTGTAAGGTGATGATCTCCAAGTACTGAGAGTAGGAATTATTTTTATCTTCTTTCCTAGGAACTATCAATAGCTACAACAAATATGAGTAACATTTCTCAGATTAAAAAAAATAGTTATCAACATCACCAACTACTAACACGTAATGTTAGATCTATTATTCTCAATATTCAGAGAAGGTAGCTGAGCTACAGAGAGGTGAAATAAGTTGTTTGTGGTCACAGCCTACTGTGCATTCCTGTTGGAATTCCCTTAGAAAAAGTAAGTGAATGAGTAAAAACTAATATTTCAAAACCCCAATTCATAAGTTGACAACTAGAGAACTATAGTTTCAAGAAGCTTTTTAAACCAGGCATGGTGGCTCACGCCTGTAATCCCAGCACTCAGGAGGCTGAGGCAGGAGGATCGCTATGAGTTCGAGACTAGCCTGGCTACATAATGAGTTCCAGGTCAGTCTCAACTACATAGTGAGATCCTGCCTCAAAAAACAACAACAAAAGAAAGAAGCTTTTAAGCCTCAAGAGGTGGCACATGCTGTAATCCCAGCACTCTGAGAGGCAGATGCAGAAGGATCATAAGAAGCTTTTTAAGGCAAAAGGCAATGATCACCACCTAAAATATTATGTGAGGAAGCTAGGTAAAGAAGACTTTTCAGGATGTGCCATTTTTATCTTTAATATATCTGAATTACTTGAAAATTAAAATTTTTTAAATTACATTCAAAGGTAGTGATTAGCATTAATAGGAATCACACTTTTCAAAACATAAATGAAAGAAAACACAGAAAAGTCAGCCCACCAAGTAAAATACACAACCCAAATGAAGCCATATGGAAAAATTAGACATGTAATTCTAATACTTATTTTTCTATTGGTTTCCAAAAGCAAAGTAAATTTCCCTATCCACAGTGAGCCTGATTAAAGCTGATTACTTCCATGATCCTTCATCTTATCTGCAGAATCCGTAGGTCATGACAATCAAAATTAGATTTCAGTGACTTACTTTCTGACCAACTATGTTCACATGGATTATTTCATTTAATCTTCAAAAGTGTACAGTGATAGAATTTTTAAATCCCAATTCAGAGAGAAGAAACCAAGGCTCAAAGAATAAAAAATTTTAAATGGCTGGGCACGGTGGCACACGCCTGTAATCCCAGCACTTGGGAGGCTGAAGCAGGAGGATTGCTGTGAGTTCAAGATCAGCCTGGGCTACATAGTGAGTTCCAGGTCAGTTTCAGTTTCAACTACATAGTGAGACCCTGTCTCAAAAAACCAAAAAAAAAAAAAAAAAAAAATTAAATGGCCCCTGTTAAATACCTAGAAAACAGAAATGAAGGAGAAGAGTCCAAGAGCCATGCTCTCCCAGTCCAAAGGGGGTGTCACGGTCACCTGTGAGGACCAGCTGTAACCAATCCATCACTGACACAGACACACACCAAAAAAACGTGCCCAGGGAACCAGCGTCCTCGAACATCAACACACTTGTTCAGCCCAAAGAAAAATATGCCACACACTATAATCTAGGAAGCGTATAATGGGTCCTCAAGGGAAAAACAGGCACAAACACTCACTTTACAGACTGTCATTTTTCCATACTGCAACAAACACCTGAGAGAACCAACTTATTAAGAGAAAAGTTTGATTTGGGTACAAAGTGTTAGAGTTTCCAGTCTAAGCACGCTATAGCACTGACCTTGCTCTCTGAACACTCGGTGAGACCAAGATTCAGAAAACAAAACTGCAATAACAATGATGGTCCAGGAGAGCCGTCCTAATCCTAGGCAGTAAAGCCCGGTGAGGACAATCTGGATGGGAATTCTAGGCTAAACAAGAGCTTCAACAGGTAAAGACAACACAACAATCATCACACTAACGAAAGATGAGTTAGAAAGACAGATGAGCTTTCACCCCCTTTCCTCCCAACTCCCTGAGGTCACCTGTATTTGTGTCTGTCCTTAGTCCTCCTCCTCCTTCCTTTCTGCTCAGAGTGGAGTCTCTCCTCCATAGCTGGACAACCCCCACCAGTGATCTCCTCCTCCAGTCCCCTCCAAGACGTTGTTCTAGCAATGATTCCCATGCTGCTAGTTTCTTACATCTTTTGCTAATGATTTCTGCTTTCAATTTATTCCTGAATGTAGTATTCCCTGTACCATGCCTTCCCCTCTTGTGCTCCTAACCTCAAATTCTCATAAACAACATCATCTTTACCTCATAACTCCTCATCATTACACTAAAACCCTCCTCTTCTTCCCAGGGTGCCTTCTCTCAAGAACTTAGCGTGAGCCCTCCTGGCCCATTTACAAAATACCTCTGCAATGTAAGTGTGTAATGACAAAAGCACAGTATCTTCAGGGCTTTGGTTAGGTACTTGGTGTCACACTGTACCTAAACTTGTATAACTTGATTTTTTTGCCTCAATGTTAGGTTTCTGAGCCCTGTCCTCATTAGTGTAGGGCATGCATTTTATATTTTATCCATTCAGTCTCCTGTGATGAAGTAATGTTTGCCAGTTTTCTGCTACTGTAGACTATAATGAATGTCCCCCAGGATCATGCACACAAGCAAGACCTTCTCCAGCACACATGTCCAACGGTGGAACTGCGCTCTTTGGTACATCTATTTATACTTCTACCTCACAATGACTGTACCAAGTTCACTTCCACTTGCTACAGCCACGGTGTGTGACCACTCCCTACCCGCATATCCTTGCCAACAATATTCTGTCACACTCACACGTTCTGGCCAACCTGGTGGGAGGGAAAGAGAACTGCATCTGATTACAACTGAGGGCCGACACTTGTGTAATAGCCACACACAGTATATTCTGACATCTTACGATATTCCTCTTCTTGGAGCTGCCTAGCCATCTCTTTTGCTCACTTTTCTATGGGACATTTTTATAGCAGTTATTCTTTACAGTACTCTAAACGCTAATACTCTGTATGTTACCATTATGTTTCTATCCATAGGGTCAACTTCTCTCAAACTTTGTGATATTGGGCACTAGGTTTTTCAAAAGTGACACGGGTGATTGTTACAGAAACAGACTTGAGAAAGTGCTGCTTTAAAATTTTAGAAAAGCAGAATAGGTAGCAATGACATGGTAAAATTTACAGAATTCAAATGGAAGATGGATATCATACTGCGCTTCTCATAATTAGCATGGAGTCCCAAATATGCAAGAGGTTAAAAAAAAAAACTCACTGTGTATTCATGTTACATTTCTTTAGTTTCTCCTCAAGTTCAGGTAGGTCTCGGAGATCTGCCCCAATAATGGCATACCTCTTTGAATCCAGTATGTGCCCATCTGCAAATGCAAAAGAAGACTATCATTTAACAGAAATCAGTCATAAGATTAGCGCTTTAATAGATGCAGCTTTTTCGAGTTAAAGTAACTTTGCTTTGTCCCATTAAAAAGACATACCTATTGTTTTAAAAAAAAAATCAGGTATGAGGAAGGTGAAAAGGAAACCAAATACTATCTTCCAAAGATAACAAAACAACAAAGCATTTGATATATGATTTTCCAGGCTTTTTTCCTTGGTTCTTAAGTTCATATTCACGAAAAAACATTTTCTTTCTCCTCTGCAGATGGAGAACACATCTTGAGCAACTTAAAACCTGTTTTGAAAGCTGCTTTCCCTACTTAACAGTAGCATCAGGACCATTGATCTTTACATTGATCCCTCACAAATGGTACGTGGTATGTCCAAGTTTTCTCTAAACCAGGTATGGTGCCACACACAGCACTTAGGAATCCGAGACAGCAGGCTCACCGCAAGTTTGAGGCCAGCCCGGACCACACAGTGAGTTCAGGGGCAGGCGCAAATACATAGCGAGACCCTGCTTTTAAAAAACAGTACACAAGTTTTCTGTATCTTAGGCACTGCCCTGAGCATCATATACAGTACCTATCTGGTTACATCTTTAAAGTAAAACACTGTGAGTGGGATTAGGAGACGAGGGGAACGCCTACTTAATTCAACACTGGCATGGCCTGGCAGCAGTTCACAAACTGCAGCAATTTGTGACTATGTCATGGCTCAGGGAAAACAGTTAAATCACTGCATCTGCAAATATGTGCCAACAGCTGTGGGAAACGC